CCGCCGGTCCCCTGTGCCGTGGGGCGGTGGCGCCCGGGCCGCAGCTCCCTCCAGGTCTGCTCGGTCCCCGGGGCTGTTGAGCGGTCCGGTTTTCCCTTCTGTTTGTTCGTGGGCTGATAAAGGCATTGTAAAGCTTTTTATTACTATTTTAATATTAAAGCAAAGTCAGAAAGACATGCAGGGCCAGTGCGGATCCGGGGCCAGGGATGGGGCCAGCACTCTACTGCAGGCTGGCAGCTTTGCCCCAGAGTCCTGTGGCAGAACAGTGCCCCTGGGGCGGCCAGTGCTGGAGCATACCCTGACCCCAGAGGACGTGCTGCAGCAGCCTGGCATCTGTCTGGTCACTGACAGAACCGAAAAGCCTGCCGTGGGGCCAGCCGCTGACAAGCCCTTCACCCTGCCCGAGGCCGTGGTGCCCCAGGGGCTCTCCTGGCAACTGAGTGAAAACCAGGACTCCTGGGAGCCTTCTGGACGCTCCTTAATGAAGAGTGCCGTCTATTTCTGCACAGAAAACCCTCCAGAGCTTGGTCACTTAAAGCAGTAGCTTCTGGTGATCCTGTGGGTCAGCAGCTTGGGGCAGCTCGGGCTAGTTGGCTCATCTCTGCCTTACGGGTTGTCAGCCAACCTGGCTCACATAGGCCATGGGCAGATCCCATGGGAGGACCCAGGCCACAGGTCACCCACCATCAACAGGCAGACCGGAGCTGCTTCTCATGACCAGGCTCTGTCCACTAGAAAGCAGTTTCATCCCGTGCATAGCGTCTAGTTCCTGGTGACTTGTTGGCTAGTACAGACACTGGCTGGGCACAAGTGGACATAAGAGGGATGCACGTATGGCCGAGGGAATCGTGGTTCATCAGAGGCCACCTCTGGAGGTCTTCAGTAGGCCTTGGGTTAGTTAATGGCCTGTCCCAGGAAAACAAAGAGCTGGTCATGCCAATCTCATCCTCTTGCTCCAGCAGCAGTGTAGAGATAATGGTGGCCATGACCAGGCCCCTCTCCAGCCTGCTGCTGACCAACCTCTGGAGCTGCTCAGCTGCTCAGGGGAGACAGGCTAGGAGCCTATGGTCATCCCATCCTGTTAGCCCACACAGATGCTGCCCTTTCCCCAGAGACTGACTTTATCTGGAACTGTCCTGACTTGGAAGAGTGGCACACCAATGCCCTCTGTAGGCTGACAAGGGGTGGGGGGGGGAGGGCAAGCAGTTTCCAGCCACCAGGGGCCAAGATGGGAGCCAGCAGTGGCACAGAGCATGGGCGAGCCTAAGCAGTGCCTTCAGGATCCCTGAGCCCTGGGGAGGGCCCAGAAGACCAGCCAGGACATCTCACCATCTGTGCCCCGTCCACCTCTGGGGTGAAGCACCAGGGCCTGGAGTAGCCTGGTGAGCATGGCCATCTACTTGCTGGCCAAGGGCACCCTGGGCCTGAGTACCATTTGTTCCATTGCTTATGTCTCACACAATTTGTGAAATAAAAAGCCACCGTGGTATCCTGGAAAAAACACGGAGCTCACACTGAGCGCAGGAGCCCGCGAGTCCCCTTACCTGCTCAACCACAGCGGTCAGGGACAGCAGCACTGGAAACCCAGTGAGACTGCTTTTCCCTGCAGCAGGGGTGGGAGGCATGACGAGCAGGGCCCAAGCCACCAAGCACTGCAGTGCACAGGGGTACGGATGGCTTCTGGCCGTCTGAGGAGACTGACCTCAGACTAACAATGGATTCCGATGGGGTCCTTCTGGGAGCTGCTGAGGGGAAAGCACCCACCATACCCGTCCACCGGCTCTGCCCTCGTTTGCTTAGGGGCTCTCTGTGGAAGGATGACTTCTGGGCTTTTGGTGTGACAGTGTGTCCACTCCTTCTGTAGGAGGCTCTGGCAGGGTTTGGTGAGGTGGGCAGCCTCCAGCACAAGTTGGCTCTCCCAGCAGCCGCTCTGGAGGGTGCTTTCTGGGCCCTGGGTTGACCCCTGCGGCATCTCCACATGGTGACCCACACAGTCCAGTCTCTGTCTTCTGAATGGCAGAGTATGTTCCTGACCTGTGCCAGGCCACCGTCACCCGTGCTCAGACTCAGCCCGGCGGAAGCATGTGGCTCTCCATCTCAGCCCCAAGGACGGCCTTTGCCTTGTTTTTCTCAAACCCAGTCCAGGGTATCCTGTGTACAACCAAAAATGCAACTGAAAAATTACTTTTATTAACTCCGCCCAATCTATTCAAGAAAGGACAACTCGGGGGCACTTTTAGGGTACAGATTATTGATTTGTTTCTTAAGAAAAAAATACTAATAAGAGGTGACCAATATCTGTGATACTTTGAAGACAGAATGGGTTTTGTCCTGTATTTTTAAAAACAAGCTGGACTGGCAAAACCCAAGTGGTGTGACCATTCAGTCAACACTTGACATGGTAGCAGACCCCGGAACGCAGGCTGCCACCTCACAATGCGCCCCCTTCTCTGGGGCACCCTGTGGTCACAGGATGGCCAGGAACCACCTGGCTTGTACTGTGACATGCACACACCTACTCCCAGCCCAGGCCACGGGAGGGATTCCGACTCCCTGCTTGCGCTGGGACGCAGAGCTGGCTCAGTGTAGACAGTCCTGATCTCTCGGTGCCTAGACCTGCAAGGTTGAACCAGCAGTGGGCACGGTGGCCGTGAACTGGACTGGCTGATACTGTCCTGGAGCCTAGGACTTGGGAGAGGGAGGCAGTACCGACCTGTCAGGCTGGCCTGTGGCAGGTGCACAGAAAGACACGGGTGAAAACAGGATGGAGTGGAGCCTGCGGATTGTACCAGCCCAGAGGTGTGGCCCTCGGGGCAAGTGGTGACCCTTGGGCAAGGGTGCCCAAGGTGAGGGTGGGCATTTCCATCTCCAACTGGGCGTTCTCTCGGTCGGGCCCCTTGGATCTCCAGCCCCCCCCCCACCAGCAGCAGGACATGGAATATGTCAGTGCTTAAGCCACAGGTGGGTCAATGGGGAGCCCACAGGCTAAGGATGAATTTTACATCTCTGAAGCACTGGGGTGCGGAGTAGAGATGATATGCAGCCGGCTGACATGGCCCATGAAGGTAAAACATTTAACAACTGGCCCTTCACCGAAAAGGTGCCAGTTCCTGGTTTAAGCCAAGTAGGCTCCACCTCTGGTGCTGGGAGCTAGATCAGCGCTCAAAGTGCACAGGCTGTGCAGGGGGAAATGCAGACCATGGTCTGCACCATTAGAAAGGAGCTAGTAGCAGACTAGTCACCAGTGGTAATGCCAACACAGGCACTCGGGTTAGATGTAGAGAGCTTGAATCAGATGGTAACAGTACATGCTAGTCAGGTGGCTGGCACTGTGACAAAATACCAGAGAATCACAATGTAAACAAGAAAGGATGGTTTGGGCTCACAGTTTGGGGGGTTTCAGCCCATGGTCTGCTGGCTCCATTGCTTTTAGGTCTCAGCTACGGCAGAAACGCTCTGGCGGTCTCACATCATGGCAGCCAGGGGTTGGGGAAGTGGGGACAGAGAAAGGGTCACGCACGCCCCCCTTCCTCCCAAGGGGCCCTGTCTCTGAAGTCTCCACCACCTCCCATGGCTGCCAGTCTGGGCCGTGCCTTGCTCACAGGGCCTTTGGGGCCTGCTCCACATGGAGCCAGCACAGGCGGAGAGGGGCCTGCTGAGTGACAGCTGGCTGCAGGGACAGGACTGCGCTCACACCACCTAGTGGGGCAGGGAAGGTGGGAAGGAGCCAAGCACCTTCTGGCTTGTGTCCAGCGTGCAGTGCCCGTCGGGTGCTTGGTGACCATGTCCAGCGTGCAATGCCCATTGTGTGTTGGATGGCCGTGTCCGGAAGCTAGCTACACACCGAGGGCTGGTGTCCAGAGGAGGAGAGCGCTGGGACACATCAGACCTACAAGAGCGGAAGAGGCCCCAGTCACCCAAAGGTAGAGCAGGGAGAAAGGGGCAGCCTGGGACTAAGTCCTGGGGACTTAACCTCAGGGCTGGGCAAGAAGGGAGCGGGCTCAGGAGACGGGGGACGGAGAGGTGAGGGCGACCCTAGGGGAAGGACGCCAGAAGAAACGCGGGCGGTGGGCGGACGGCGTGGCTCGGAAGCCTCAGTGCCCTGTTGGGTTCAGCACCAGGCAGTGAGCCAGCCCTTCCCGGCACATTGACTTCATTTTTATGTGTTTTATGGCAGGGCTTGAGCCCAGTGCCCCTGCCTCCGAGCCACGCCCATCCCCATCTACTTCAAAACCTAGGAACACAAGGGTGAAAAGCAGGGATGGCTGCACCCTAAGTCCTACGTGCACCCTGCACAGAGCCACAGACCCTCAGCAAGCCAGGATCAGCCTGTATGACGAGATCACAGGCCTAAGTTGGGCTTCCCAAGAGCACGACTCTCAGTCAACACTTCACAATCCGCTACTCAAATCGGCAAGTCCAAAGAAGTAGCCGGCGCGGTAGCCACACCTGTAATCCCAGCGGCTGGGGAGGCTGAGGCAGGAGGACCACAAGTTCAAAGCCAGCCTCAGCAACTTAGTGAGACCCTAAGAAACTCAGCGAGATCTTGTCTCTAAATAAAAATTCAAAAAGGGCTGGGGATGTGGCTTAATGGTTAAGCACCCCTGGGTTCAATCCCTAGTGCCCTCCCCGCAAAAAAGATGGAAGAACATCCATGTGGTCATCTCAGTGGCTGCAGAAAAAGCTATTCACAGACCCAACATCATGCACCTTTAGAAAAACACTCTGAGAACCAAGATCAGAAGGGAGCTTCCTCCGCTGCCAAGGGACATCTGCAGAACCCCTGAAACAGCCCAGACAGCAAGAGGAGTCTCTTCTGCAGAAGTGGTGCAGCAGGAGTCCCGCCTGTTCCCAGCCATGGGCGGCACTCACCTGGGCCACGGGGCAAAGACAGACGCACACAGAGACGTGGGAAGGGCATGGAAGACCTACAGCCAAACACTTAGTGCAACGAGACTCCAACAAGATGGTGCACACACAAACGATGTCTGTACTCCAGCAACAAGTGTGTCACCTAGAAATGACACGGTGACAATAGCAACAAAAGTGTAGACTTAAAATAAATCCAAAAAGGAGAATAGGCTCTTTTGAGGAGAAAAACTTTCTAAAAATCAATGAGAAAGCTTGTGATCGTCCAGACACCGATCAATGCACAAGAAGCCTCCACATTCGAGAGGCTGCTTCCCCTCCGCTACCCGCAGCGCCTGGGATCCTCATCAATATTCCACAGGGACTTTCTCGCAGCTCCAAGGATTCTAAAGTCTGTACGGAGGCAAAGGGCCTAGGAGAGGAAGGGCACTCTGAAGAAGAGCGGCCAGGAGGGGCATCGGCCCTGCTGAGCAGTCAGGTGGACTCTGGAGCTGCAGCAGATGGAGCCTCTCGTTACTGGCCCCAAGATGGGCACGTTGACCCGTGAAGATCGACACACACACACTTGACGCAGGACAGAAGAGGCCTTGCCGATCAGTGGGGACAGGGCTGACTTCAATAAATGATGATGCCAAGACGTTTTAATTTTTAATTTTCATTTTTATGTGGTGCTGAGGATGGAACCCAGGGCCTGGCACGTGCCAGGTGAGCGCTCTTCCCCTGAGCCCCAGCCCAGCACCACCCTCAGTGATTTCAAAACAGGAAACACAGGTGCTGAGGGTCCGGAGGAGGCTGAGCAGGAGGCAGGTTCCCAGGGCCAGACCAGGGCGTCATCACACGCGACAGCAGGACCTGACGGACAGACCACCCTGCGAGCGGAGCACCCGCACCGAGGGCCTGGGCGCGGCCAACCTCACGGCCTCCTTGGGCCGGTTGAGAGCACAAGTCTGTGAGTCCAACCAAGTCGGCACCTTCTGCCTGGGGCTGCTGGGTTGGTTGGTTTGACCAGCTACAAAAGCATCCTGGCTCCCGGGACACGCTGCTCTGCGGCCCAGGACCAGGCGCCGAGGGCTTCTCTCTCTCCTTGTCTCTGTTTTACTGATTTCCCTCTTGATTATCATGCTGGCTGGGCCAGGGGGGTGGGGGGCCTCTCCCTCCTGCCTCCCAGCAGCTTCTGGAGAGGGCGGGCTGGACGTCCGTCCCCGGGGCTGTTGAAGGCTGCTCAGGGCGTGGCAGCCCCCTCACATTTCCAGGTCTGGTGGACGGTTTTAACCAAATGCCAGGTGGAGCCCCTGGAGCCGTGGCAGCTGCCGAGGGGGCTGAGGGGGGTCATACCTGTATTTTCACATGTTTTGTTGGGGTATAGGACACGGGAATGTCCCATGCCATAGCTGTCTGCCTGGGCAACAGGGCAAGGGGCGGAACAAGACCAGAGTGTCCCCACTGCCCTCCTGCCCTCTGTCGACTAGTCGTGCCCGTGTTTCCCTGGACACGCAGGACATCAGACAGCGCCTGGCCTTCTGTTCAGCGTCTTTCCTTCTGTGTGTGTCCTTCCAACTGCTGCCCGTGTGTCGGCGGTGGGGAGCACGCACGGCCAGCCGCAGGGCCCCGGGTGGCTTCTGTGAACGGGCCTCTGCAGCACACCTTTCCGCGGGTCCCTACCTCCGGGCTCTCCGCGGGTTCGGTAGTGAGTCGGGCGTCCACCCCTGCACCCTGGACGGTCACCTGCTCCAGGCCACCGTCTCAGTCTGAAGCAGCCCACAAGTTCCCTTTGGACTCCACCAAGGAGCTTTGTCCTTCAGCTTTTCCGGCTGCCCTGGGCATTCTGCGTTTCCATGGAACCTTTGGATTGGCTGGTGGAGTTTCGAGTGTCCAGCTAGACCTCCGTTGGAATTGCCTGAGCTGTGAGTACTCCCGCCAGCCAGGCCTCCCACCTGCTCGTGGCGCTGGTCCAGCGGCTCTCCGTCTCCTGGGAGACCTCACACTTCCCCTAGATTTATCCCTAGGTATCTGGTGCTTAGGGTCATTGTTAATGTCCTGTTTTTATTTGGTGACCACTGGCTTCTGGTCTGTAAAGAACACAACCGATTCTCCCATGGAGCTGGTATTCAGCCGCCTTCCATCTCCTGGGGATCGATGGCGGCCATCTCTGGGTCTCCAGTCACTTTGTCCTCGACTGCTCTCTCCCATGGTCTGCTTCACCAGCTGGTGCTGAGCAGCGCTCTGGCCAAGGGCATCCTCGTCCACCCGGGCTCAGAGGGGACACTTCCAGCCACTCTGCTCCAAGAGCAGCATCAATGGTGGGCTGTCAGGTAGATGTCCCCGCGAGGGGAGGGAGGTTCTCTCTGTTCCCGCTTTGCTGACCTCCACAGGTCCTTGTCTTCTGCCCCCCGATTGAGGTGATGCAGGGGTCTTGCTTGGGCACACCGACGTGGTCGGTCAGGTTGACTGAGGCCCAGGTAGACCAGCCTTGCTCCAGGACTAAGCCCATTTGGAACCTGCCCTGGAGGTGCCCAGCCTGCTCAGAGCCTACTTCCAGGGCACGCAGGACAGGGACGAGGACGAGTGAAGAAGCCCGAGGTCCCCCGGCCTGCCATGGCCTGGCTGGGGTGCAGCTCTGCTGAGCCTGCTGCCTACGGCTGCGTCCATCCGCAGGTGCCCTGGCCACAGCTGGAGCACAAGAGCCTCCGAAGCCTTCTTCTCTGCAGGACAAGAAGGTGACCCTGGCTAGCGTGAGGACAGATCCCTCAGTGGACACAGGTTCCTTCCTGGGTCTCAGTGTTCTGGTCAGAGAGGTCATCTGCAGATCACATATCAACAAAATGTGATATTCTGACAAAGCAGGTAAAAAGAGACGCAAGGTGGCTGTCTAAGCGCTGTGAGATGCGCACCTGCGAGTCTGAGCCCTGAGCCGCGGCTTGCGCCTCACGGGGCAGAGCCTACCCACTGGGGGCGTGGCGCTCAGTGTTCCGGGATAATCCTGTCCAGTGCTGGCCACTGTGGGCACTTGTGACGGGTTACTAGGCAGAACTGCAGCGAGACCAGGGTAGGCCTCACCTTAGCACTGTCCCCTCAGATGCAGGTGAGGGACGGCGTGCCTGCCGCCGTCAGGCCCAGGTAGCCCCAGATGGCTCCATGGCAAGGGGCCAGCCAGGACCCTACCATAGAGGGGCGGGGCAGCGGCAGCCAGCGCAGGCCCAGGAGCGGGGCCAGGCTTCCACAGCTCCTGGTGCTGGGACCGCATTCCAGAGAGATGAGCGTGCGGTCTGTGCCCGTCGGCTGGAATCCCGTACGTACACAAGCCCACCTTCTTTTTTTGCTTTCTAGAATTCCACTTCTATTTTTGGTGGAATATAAAATCTGACTATTTCCCAAAATGGAAAAGCGCGTGTGCTCCCTGCCTGTCTGGCGGTATCTCTGCAGCGCAGCCTGTGGGACCAGCGCTCGGGGACCCCTTCCCCACCCGGAGCTGCAGCGCTGGGCGCACCACCCCCAGGTGGCTCTCTCCAGCTGCGTCTGCTCACGGTTCTGCCTGTGCCATCTGCCCCGGGTCCCAGTGGGTGTGTCTGAATGAGTGTGTCGCACGCCCACCGCTCTGAAGGGCTCCAGGGAAGCCCGGGTCCTGGCTGTGAACCGCAGGAGGGGGACGGGGAGGGCAGGCAGGAGGGGGGCGCAGCCGCTGTCTGCTGGCCGGGCCTGCGGATACTGTGGTGGACAGCAGCTCTGCCTGCCAGACAGGGATGGGAGTTGGGCCCTGAACCCCATCCTGCCCTGGAGAAGGAGCGAGTGCCCAGCGCAGCGCATGACCACAGCCTTCGTGACAACCTGCTGAGTGGCAGGGGGACTCGGCTTCACCAACAGAAACCCTCCGGGAGCTGTCGACCTCACTGTGGCTCTCTGGCTGCAGTGGGCACTTCTCGTGCCGAGGTCGTCTGATACCCTCCTTGTGCCGTCTCTTGCGTCCTTGGCTGGCTCCTACCTGACCTCTTGGTCCTTTGTCCTAAGTCTAGGAGCTGTCCACACACGGAGGTGCCAGGCTCCCAGGGCAGCAGGACAGACACTCTCTCCGTGGTTTCAGCTGCCAACTCTGTGGCTTCCTTGGCTGGTCAAGTTCTGCTGGCCTCTCTCTGAGTCACAGTCAGCATGCCCCCCCACCCCCGGTGTCGTCCCCGTCTTCTGGTCCTGCGTGGTCCATCCCCTGGAGGTGGCCTGGGCGTGATGGGGACTCTTTCCTGGCCGTCCAGTGTGCCTGCCCGTCATCCACAGTCCAGTTCCCCGACAGATGTCACCACCACCTGGGGTCCCCAAGGACCTCGGGTCTCTGCTCTGTTGGGGCATTTGTCTGCTCCTGCCCCACCCCAAAGACGCAGCTGTCTCTGGACCGGCCAAGAGAGGGCCTGGACTCTGTGGGGGTATCTGTCATCGCCGGTGAAGCTCAGGGTCCTTGGGTCTTGCCCCTTCTCTCCTGTGCATCTGGAGGGAAGCCCTTCCCCTTGGCCTGAGCTGGTGCTGGCTGGCCATGCGCTGGGAGCCGGAGGCACTCCTGAGCCAGGGGCTGGCCTGCTGTCCCCTGTGGCCTGCGTCCTCCGGTGAGTCACAACCAACCACTGCTCCAGAGCAGGATTTAAGAAGGAGGAGCCGCCGCTCAGATGGCTGGCGGGGCCTGCAGTCTGCAAACCAGGGCTCGCCACCTTCAGGCACCCTGAAAATACCTGGGCCGCATCCTCCACAAGCCCCTGCTCGGTGGAGAGGCCATTTCTGAGGGCTTCTGGAGCAGCTGCCCATCCCTGGGCTTCCTCCCATTCTGCTGGGGCTGGACACTGCTTCCACCAATAGAAGAAACCGGAAGGCACAGGAAGAGAGATAAATGTCGGCAAATGGAGCGGTCTCTGCCCCACAGGTCAGCTCGGCCTCCCTTTTACAATAAAAAAGGTTTTTCTGGTTCTTTTTCCTGGTGGCTAATTTGAGAGTCTGGTTATTTAAGGAGACCAGAGATGGAAGCCAGATGACTCAACCCCGCAGTGGGGGGGTTTCCTTAAAAGACCTCTGGGTTTGCGGGAGCAGGGACCAGTGCCTATTCCCAGCGTGGGCTCTTCATGCCTGCAGCTCCGTGCTCCAGACACCGCGCGGCAGAGTCTAAAAATACCCCCTTCCCATACAGCGCCCTGCTCAGGAAAGCCCCAAGGCCACAGCTCCTGCAGGTCCGAGCAGGGGCCAGAGCGGCCCGAGCACTGGGTGGTGGCCTGGAAGTTCGGCTGCTGGAGAAGCCACTGAGGGGGCACCTGGCCTGTCCCCGGCTTGCACCCAGCGGCCAGAGCTCCCTGCTGCACGTGCTCCTGGGACCCTGAAGATGGGCCTCCAGCCGGCATGGTGTCCCCTAGTCGGCTGCGGGCTCCACACACTGACCGTCTCAACAGCCCGAGCTCCTCCCCAGGTCTGCGAGGACCTCAGGACCCAAGTGGTCACTTGTACAGTTGGGGAGGGCATCCTGTGGGTAGTCCAGAGTGGGCCTGCAGACGCTGGGCAGATGACGCCTTCCGCCCCTCCTCCAGCAGCTGGCCCGCAGTGGGCTCTCGCTGGCTCCTGGGAGAGGACACCGCCCTCCTGGAGCTCCCTGGCCACCTGCGGCTGACCCGGCGAGGGCACACCTGAGCACTCAGGACCTGCTGGCCAATGAGGGGTGGACCACCTGCCCTGGCAGCACATGCACACAGGGACTCAGGAGGCTGAGGCGGAGGGTCACAGGTCAAGGCCAGCCTGGACAACCCAGCGAGACTCTGACTCAAAACGGAAAGGACCGAGGAGGAGCTCTGGGGTAAGTCCCCGGGCTCCAACCCCAGGTCACAGAAACAAAGGAAAGAAGAAGAAAGACAAGTAACAGGCCCAGGCAGAAGGGACGCCCAGACCTCCCACCGACTCCTGTCTGGTGCTGCTCAGTGGACACCAGAGGTGTGGGCGCCGATCCAGCTGTCTCCTCAGCCCTCAGCCCCCAGCTGGCACAACCTCTGCCCAGAGAGACAGGGCCACCCGCAGGGACACCACGCTCCGCCCCTGAGCAGTCACCTCTCCTGCGTCTCAGGCTCCTGGGGACAGCCTGACCTGGCAGAACCTGCAGAGGTCAAGGGCCGGCCCGCCCTCCCCGCCAGGCCGGCCCTCCCCGCCCCGCCTGCCCTTCCCGCCTGCCCTCCTGGGCCTCCCTGCCCTCCCCGCCCGGCCCGCCCTCCTCACCCCTGCCAAACTCAAGGCAGGTGGCTGGGCACCTGAGGGCCCATCAGGGCCCCCTCCCCAGGATGGCTCTTCTCCATCGTCCGACAGCCAGCGTCTTGAAAGCCATGTTCACGTGTTTTGTTCCTGGGTCACGGGGTCACCTCTAGCAGAGGGGTGCACACCCTCCCCGCCGCTCCCCCTGGGCTGGGAGCCGTCTCTGGTTAAAATCCCGTGTTCCTGTGCTCTCTGTCACGGAGCCACCTCCGGGGCAGGAGTCTCCAGGCACTGAGCTGGAGGGTCGCCATGGTCTCCCCAGGGTCCACACAGCTGGGGGACTGGGCTTGACCCGTAGCAGAGTGTGGCCTTGGGGACCCAGCAGCTCCGGACAGCAGCCTGCCAGCCGAGAGCCTGCTCCTCAGCAAGGACCCTCCTGCCCCAGAGGCAGGCGGAGGACTTCTCACACCGCCCCTCACCCAGCCAGCCCTGTCCCATGTCCGTAGGGAAGGACAGACACTCGGCCCAACACCAGGAGCTGCTCCTACCAGCAAGCGGCCCGGGGGCAGGTCGGGGAGTCAGGGAGAGGACCGAGCTCTGTGCGCACATGTGGGACGCAGCGCTGGGCCAAGCGGGGCAGCATGAGCTCTGCACAGCCCTGCTGCCCCTCCTCACACCTACCCTGGGCAGCTGTGGTGCTGGGACGGCCTTTACCTCTGAGACCCACCCCAGCCGTCGGGTTTTAATTAAAAAGAGATTTCAATTTAATTCTCTGAAAAGGCTATTGTTGCTGGACCAAACCCAAACAGTATAAGAAGACAGGTGACAGGGTCCTCCCAGCCCCTGGAGAGCTGGAGGCCACAGCCACCAGACTCAGGGTCCTTCTTGGCCGGCTCTTTGCCGCTGCTCCCAGCCCCAGCACTCTCCAGGTCCTCGTTGACACCACAGGCAGCAGGCACCGCCAGCCTCGGGACGGCGGGCACAAACTTGGACGTGTCTGGGTTCTGAGTGGACCACTGGTCACGAGTGCCCCTTGGAAGCGTAGCCAGGTGGCAGGGCAGGGGCTGGACCAGGGAGCTGTGTGAAGCAGGGCAGCCGGGCTTGGGGAGCGAGGCGGGAGGGAGGGAGCCTGGTTGGAGGGAGAGCACGCCAGGCAGGAAGCGGGGAGCCCAGGCAGAGCTGGGCCGCAGCCATCCAGGCGGAGCCAAGAGCCGGTGCCGGGTGCAGAGGGTGGGCCCCTTGCTGGCCACCAGGCTTCGAGATGGGCAGCACCAGCCGGGAGGGTGGCCGGGCTCCATCCCCACCGGGGAATGCCCAGAGGGGGCTCGGCCTGCAGGCCAGCTGGGTGGGCTCTTCAGACCCGGAGGCAGAGCTGCCACTCCATGGCGCCCGCAAGGCCCAACTGACCTTCCTGGGTCCAGCCTTGCTGGCCAACAGTGGAGAAGGCCCTCGGTCAGGCAGGAGCCGGACCCCACTGCTGCCCACAGACTGTCAGCAAGGGCTCCCTCCACGGGGCCAGGGTGGGGTGCCAGGCTGTGGAAGGGGCCTGCAGCTGGAGCTGCCCCTGTTGTAGGCAGCGGAGGCCAGCCCCCGGCACCTGGCAGCAGAGGCCAGACTCTGGGCAGGTGGAACCCCGTGACAGGCAGGTGGGTTGGCGTGGGCGTGATGGGCCTGGGGTGGCCTGAGGGCTGGGCCAGCCTCTGCACCCCACAGTGGGCTTGGGAAGGAGGGCAGAACTTGCTCTGGACTTCGTTTTGAGGGCCCCCTGCGCTGGCGGGATGAAGGGGCCTCGCAGCCACCTGGCTGCTGTGTGGCTAATTTTACATGCAACTTCTCTGGGCCATGGGGAGTCGAGAAATCTGGCCAAACATCACGGGGTGTCTCTGAGAGGGAGTTTCAGGGTGAGACGGAAATTTCACATCGGCAGACTGAGCCGGGCGGCTTGTCCAGTTTGTGGGCTTACCCAGTCACTGAGGCCCGAGCCGGAGGACCAGTGGGAGCTGACTCACTGGCCCATTGTCTCAGGTGACAAATCCCAAAGCCCTCCGCCTGGCTTCTAAAGAGGGCTACGTCCCCCCGGCCGGGGGCCAGCTTGCACGGACGTTCCCGGAGGCCTCCTCGCTCCATGCCGTCACAGGAGTCCAGGTCCATGAGCACCTGCCGCAGAGCCAAGCTGGCATCTGGGGACAGCCCCAGGAGGGCCACTCTGCGCCTTCAGGTTCCCCTTCTCAGGGCCGCCTCCTACGACCTCGTCCTTCCAGGTCTGCGCGGCAGCAGCCCTGGCCTTGATGCACTCAGGGCCACTCTCCTGCTGGACTCCAGCCCTGAGTCCAGGCTCCAGGAGAGGAGCTGTTTGTCAGCACCACTTACTTTTCCGTCCCCGTGTCCCTGGCCTGGCCCGCGTGGACCTGGTGGCCAGGGGCAGCTGTGCAGAACCTGAGAAATGCTGTCGTGTGGTGATGGGCAGCCTGCGCTGGCCAGGGAGAGCACGCTCCGCGGTCCCCACCCGCCCAGGCTGCTGTGGCCAGAAGCCAAGACCAGCACCTCGCACATCTGCTGGTGTGACCTCAGACTAGCCCCGGGGACCGGGCAGCGCTGCTGCTCACCAAGAGGCCTCACAGAGCAGAGGACGGCCCAGCTGGTGGGCAGTGGTCTCCTGAGGACCAAGGACCCTGAGGCTGCCCCACAGGGCCTCCTCCAGGAAGCCCTCCAAGGCCTCTGGAGGGTGGAGTAGGAGACCCCCTGGGCGGAGCCGGCACGCTCTCAGGGCAGCAGCAGGACAGACCACAGGAAAGGGCGGGCAGCCAGAGGGCGGAGGGCAGGCCTGAGGGCGGCGGAGGACATTCGCAGCAGCCTGAGCCGTGGACAAGGGGAGGACGATGCCCTGACACAGGGAGGACTGTGTCTGAGGAGACGCCAAGGACCGCTCAGGACCCGGGAGGGCACGGGAGCTTGCAGGCTGCCACTTGCTGCTGTGACCCTGGTGGCCCCAGGTGCCCCAGGGGTGGCAGGATCGGGGGCCGGAGGCGCCCACAGCCCTCCTCCCAGCACCGGCAACAGCCGCGAGAGTCCTCCTGTGCGCAGAAGCCACCGGCAGCCCGCCCTGGCCACCCAGCCTGGCCACCCAGGAGGGACGAGCGTGGCGGAAGCTGCATCTGCCCCGGGTGACGCTGGCCTCCCCCTCTCCCTCGCTACGGAGTTTAAGGTGAATCCACAAGACACTCAGCCAAAGGGACAGTCACTCCTCACGGGGGCCGCGGAGTCTGGGCTCCGTCTCCTGGATCCCAGTTCAGTGAGAACAGGCTGGGAAGGACTGGCCTTCTAGAATCTTCTGGGGCTCTGCTCGGGGCTGAGGATGGCTCCTCAGGGTTCCAGCTGCAAGGCCCTCTTCTGAGCCCAGCCGACCCCAGCTGGTCCTGCCCCCCTGAGCACCAGCCATGGGCTCAGACTTCCCTGGGACGGAATGTTCTGGAACGGAGCAGCAGGTCAGAACGGGAGCTCTGCACCGAGGCCGTCCAGATCCCGGGGTGGAGGAAACAGGGCAGGAATGAGCTGCGCGGGAGCGGAGCCGCCTGGAGCCCGGCTGAGGGAACAGCTGTGCTGACGGGGGTTCAGAAGCCAGCGTCCAGGGGCTGGGTCGCGGGTGAGCTGGGGACGTGAGCTGCCACCAGCACCTCGGGGTGAAGGAGCAGAGGCGCCGTGACCCCCCGTGTGTGGGGCGAGCCGTGGAGCAGCCCCCACGAG